CATTGATTATGTATCTTTTGAACCTTGCACAGTCATTGGCGACTTCTTGAAAGTGGAAAACTTGCCTTGCATGGGAATCATTGAAGTTTATCAGGCTACAAACTTTAGAGATTTGAGATCATTTTCTAAGTGGTTCCAATTCTGAACTTACTTGCGAAAATGTCTGTAGTTTGCTTCTAAGGACATATATTGAGACTTTAAATAGTGATTGGTAGTTTTTGGTCTCGTACTCTCAGGAGTATTTGAGTTGAGAAATGAAAGGACAATGGTTCTCAGCAGACAAYTACCACAACACTTCTGTAAATTCATTAAAGTTAAAAATCTAAGACAAAAGGTTTTCCCCTTCAGTTTTATCAAGGCTTTTGAAAATTTTACTCAACCCATCTGTGATCTACAAGGCTCTTCCTGTTTATACAGATTCAGATGATCTCAGAATTAAGTAAAGGGTGAAAAGAGGATGGGGCAGAGATGTTGCACACAAGGGTATTTCTTATTTAGCCTATGTATTAGAATGAGAAGTCCTCTTAAAAGCCTTATGACATTTCAAAGAAATAGAGTTTCCCAGAAATTCCAAGAATACCCTGACTCTCATAATGTTCACATTTCTACAGCACTTCACACACAGTGGTCCTAGCACACAACACAAACACTGGTCAATGTTCACAGTGCTCCACTCTGACCTACTCTTCCTTCTGGAGCTACACCACATGCCATGGCCTGTAGCAAGCACCCGATGAACTGTGGGAGAACTTCTSTCTTTCTTGGTAGCTGTCAGCATACAAATGATTTAGCCTCCAGTCTCCCTGCAAAACTAACACAAAAGCTCCCTAAATTCCAACTGGAATCCAAACACGTAACCAAATTGCAGCAAAAGGAACAGTATTAGGAGTAGGACCCTACTAAGAAGCTGAATTAACTCCATGAGGTAGACATAGCCTTAGTGATAAAACTACTTACTTCTATAGCCCCTATGTTGTTTTTTTTTTTTTTTTCTCTAGTTTGGGAACAAGAACTGCAAAATCTTAATGAAGAGGTGTTAGAAGAAAAAGCATAATGCATTTTTATGGGTCTCCTGTACAATCTTTGCAAAATACGATAATTTCTCCTGTCACACTCAGGAAGACCCACTCAAATCTCCATTTAAAACTCTCATGGCTTAGTACCATTCATTCACAACAAAATCACATGAAAATCACTTCACCTTGTGAAATATTCTTTTTTTTTTTTTTTTTTTTTTTTTTTTTTTTTTTTTTTTTTAAGATCTCAAAGGCCTATCTGGATATAACAAATTTGTACCAATTCTCATCCTGTATTTAACTGGGCGATATATATCCTGAGTCAGCTGGGCAAACTACCTGGGAATCTCTATCCTTAATGGTTTCTCCATTGTAAGATATGCCTACCTGACATAAGTCTGACATGAAGCTTAATTCATTGAATACTGCTGAATACCTGAAGACATAAAGGATGCCACTGAAAGACTGTCCAGAAATATCTACACTCTTAACTAGTTTAGATATTTCTATAYGTAGCATAGAGTACGAATGCTAAAAGCATGAACTTTTAGCTTTATTTCAAAATGAGAGCACTTGTAAGATGTGTTCAGACTTTCATATTTCTAACAATATTTCTTAGGAATGTCAAAGCTCAAAATCTAAAGAAATAATTGCTGTAAAGTGCATGCTAATGGCTTGCTTTGCAGATGGAAGATAATTTTTAAAAACTATGCTTCCTTGTAAGCATACGGTTGACACTGTTTTATTTCTTTCAAAAATACTTACAAAAGCCAGGATTTCTCTGTATATATGTGACCTTCATTCCTAGATGGCACATGGAGTGCTTAGAGATCATGTTACTAAGTTATTTGCAGTTAAAGGGGAAAAAAGGGCTAAAATTAATGGGTCACTGGGTATTTTCTTCTGAGAACTTAAGTACTTAACAGTAAGAAAAAAAAAACAGTTTACAGCCAGGTGGCTGGAGGGGATATTTTGTTGAACACTGATTAAAAATAATTTCTTCTAAATGAGACCTGACCACAAAATGGGACCATTAACGAGCAGGGACATTCTCACCAGAAAGGAAACTATGCTTGATCAACTCCTGTACCGCCCACAAACCCCAGGTCTTTTTCTTTCTTTCTCACACTCTCTCTCTCTTTTTTTTTCTTCCCTTCCCATTTCCCTTTTCTCCTCTCCCCTTTTCTTGTTCTTAATAGCAGGGTAAATAAGCAGCAAGTGATGCTGAAATGTTTTCGGCCAAAATCAGAGGCCAAACTCCTCTGAGAAAACATTTGGCCTCTGTGGTTTTGTAATATGTTCCAGAACACTGAGTTCACTGAAGAACATTGTGAAAAACTCCCATCGCCTGGAATGATGCTGGGGAATGTTACTGTATCCGAACTTCCAATTGGTCCATTTCCTGCAGGCCTTGTTAAAAAAAAAAAAAAAGAAAAAAGAAAAAAAAAGAAAAAAAAATAGCGCTATGTGGGAGTTAAAACAAGGTTCTCATGGGAAAAATGAATGGCAAGAAATTCTAGCTTTAAAAGAAACAGCTAATCTGCTAGTTTGATTGTTCTTCAAAACTTACAATGAACCAATAATCCTAATTAAAAACACTTGGCCTAGTTCGCTAAAGCATCATAGCTTTTTCTATGCTTCGTTTGTACACACCATAGACTATTAGTTTTTTTCTAGTGCTCACTAACAAAGTGCTGACTTTGTTGGGATGGCTGAGCTAATTTCGTGAACTCAGTGTGAAACCTTAGCTAAACAAAATTGTGGTAATTTTCCTTAATTTGTAAAAGTGATTGGAGTGCAAACAAAATTTTCCTCTTGGGTCAATCCTATAATTTTCAATTAACTAAAACTAATCGGCAGGCATGTACTGAACCTGCATTTTGTTTAAAGGGCTGCAAGGCACTTCTGAAGGTCAGAACGCATTAATTGTTTTTATTTTAGTTTTACTTAGTCCTTTTAGGAAGGCACATTTCAGCTTAGGTTGCGTGGAAAAGAATTGAAAAWTGCAAATTGTGTGAGGTACAATTTCAGTCACAAAAGAATTTATATATCTACTATAACTCCATAAAAGCTGCATGAGTAACAGAATTGCTGCCAATGGATTGGATCACCTTTGATTTTATCATTGTTGTTTAGGATTTCATAACTTTCATTTACTGAATGAAAAATAATGTGTTTTAAACACTAACCTGAAAAATGCATACAGGAAAACTCTGCCTACTGGGACTACTAAGCTCCACATCAGTCAACTGCCTGTATTTATGCAGACAGGTTAAACTGCTGCCCTCCTTTTTTTTTCCTGCAAAAGCTAATTAATGATAATCTGAAAAGAAAACTAAAATGGACTCAAGACATTTTTCACCTTTAAATTGCCTAAAGAGATCCRTAAAAATTTCCTTGTGGGAGTAGGGAAGACCTCCCTTTCTTTTCCTTTCGCATGCATACTTGATGCTCCCCCAACCCAAGGAGTTGTCACCCAGTGGCGTGACAACTAGCAGGACAACACAGTTTATTGTGAGCAAGCCTTTTGGAGGGGAATTTTGGACTGATTCACACTCAAACTGTCCAGAATCCTGGCTGACACTTCCAAGTGGTAGAAATTGGTAATTTGCACCAGCTGGCAATTTGACCCTTTGCTTTTGCTTTTTCCTTTGTTCAAATGCGTTCAAGCTCTCATTACCATTTTTGATATGGCATGTTATTACCCAGTATATGAATTTCCCACCCATTGTCCAGATCATAATGCTCACAATAAACACATGCAGGCTCAGCAAACGCCTGCGGCTCCGTGAGACACAGACACTTTCGGACCTAGTTTAAAGAAACCCAGCGCACAGTCTCAACTGGGCRCAGAGGGTGTTTGGAAAAGGATAACAAAGCTTTGTAAGGCACCTTTGTTCACATGAAATCAGGAAATAGCATCATGAGAGCGACGCTGCCCAGCTGGAACACAGAAGTCCGTTCTCCGCCTCAAGTCCACATGTGTATGTTCACAGCAGGAGCACTATAGGTGTCCAGTGTAATCCAGAGTGTACTGTAGCTGCAGATGTTTATGATCCATCTTATTCTTAACATTTTGAGTGCAATCAAGAACGGGCAAAGATATTGGGTTCATCACCACCACCACCACTCAGGTACCCGGTTACAAAAGTACTGCTATGATATACGTCTAAATAAAAGTCTATAAAGCTAAGCATGTCACAACCCAGATGAAGCCATTAATTTCTGCAGCATCCATAGCTTCTGAGGAATAAATGGCATACATTCTTTCTGAAAGTTAGGCTGCTACTTGATTTATTTCCAGTCCAGTCCTTATCACTATGGATAGTGGCTTAACATTGACAGCACCTGCAATCTCCTAGCAATGTTTTTTTTCTTCATAACTTTTCAGGTCTCTTCAGTCACACAGCAATGTGGATGGGATGCCATGCCAAAACACTCTGCCACTCACTATGGTGGCAACATCAACTGCACTGAGAGCTACTTGGCCTCCTGGCATGCAGAAACTAGAGTGCAATGGCAAGGCAGGCAGGTAGGCAGGATGTGGCCTTGRACACTTGTTGGACCAGGTTACTATTACAACATGAGCCCAAAATATTCAGCAAGAGGCTTCCTGGAAAGCTAGTTCTCCTCTGCATTAGTGTGCCTGGCTCTTGCCATTTGCCCTCTCCATCAGGTGGCTTAGGGGCAGGAAAAGCCATTTATCTCCTTCCTCTATCTCCCCTTCCTAGGAGAGAGGGTGCAAATGTGAAGACATTTCTCAGGGCAAACAAGCAAATAAAAATCCACATGGGTATGTTTTCACATTCCTCTCTATGGTCACCCATTGCTAGAATCCAACATTAAATGGGTATCTTCAATGAAGTGCTCAGTCAAAATAATAAAATACAGTACAGCTCTCAATGATGAAGGCAGAAGCACCAGTAAGTGTGATATATTTTTTGCCCTATTTCTCTCTTACATCTAACACTTGAGCACCCTTACCTGTGTAAATGAATCTTCCAGGCGTTCCCTTGCAGAACTGCTTAGACTTGTAGGACAATGTGACTTCTACAACCCCTGGGATATGTCGAGGAGGCGTCTGCACTCGGATGGCATGAGGAGTAATCAGCTAGAGGAAAACATTGGGAAGGGAAAAAGGATTAAAAAAAAAAAAAAGGAGGAAAAAAGAAGCACTGTTAGATGCTGAATACTTCTGTAATAACACTTTCCTCTCAGATCACAGTAAACAAGCTTTGAAACATGTAATTAACCTGTCAATGTTTGAATACAATCTTGATGTAACCCACACAACAGCAACTACAATATTTACAAGCACTCTCCTTCTCAGCTGTAACAACATTATTTCTGTTTTCATACATGGCTGGCACTTGCATCCTAGTACAGGCATTAGCACCAGTTTAATGCAATAACTGCAGCTTACACCAGCAGCACGCCTACCTTCCTCCAGGTGAGCATTAGGGTCGCGACTACAAATTTGTGTCCAACAAATCTCACTGATGTGCTCAATAAAGCTATGTGTCCAATGTAGCCATTTACCCATCAGTTCCAGCCTGCCTCTACTGCAATGACCGACACACATCTGGGGTGACTGTACAGCTACCTCCTGCACATGTGGATTTACTCAGGTAAGAAGGAGACAAACTTAAATTTCAGATTAATGGGGCTGGAGACTGTGATACCACCAAAAGATGGAATTAGTGTTGCCCTTTCCACCTTTTAGACCACCTCTGCTTCATTAAAGATTCTTGATTGGAGCCCTTGAAATTAACCTTAGCGTCATCGTCATTCAGAAGATTCAGGAATTTATGGCAGCTTAACTCAAACTCTGCCATGTTCACATGCTACAGGACTGCCCTCCTCAACACTGAATGTCCTCTGCTCACCCATTACACACTTTCCGAGAAGGACAGTAGGAAGCAGTACATGGAGAAGGTGACATCGTGCTAGTAACCAAGACGCAGCCCTGGGACGCAGAGACTCCTTGTCTCTTTGACTGGCACATTACCAGTGGCACCTAACTCCAGAGAGACAAATGGGACCAAGGCCACAACCAGCCATGGGCACTCTCTGCATATGGTCAAGTGATTCATGCTGGTGATTGACTTGTGTCTGCATTAAAAATCCAAAGGGAAAATATTTCAATAGAAATACATTGTTATATGATTTTTTTAAATCAAAATACTATTTTTTTAACTAAGAATAAAAAATTTCAAGATCATACTAAACACCTACAAAAACCCTGTCTTTTAATCATTTTAATTGTTTACGGTGCAGGACTGTTGCTCCTAAATCATACTGCAAACTGCCATGAAAGCTAAAATGGCCCAATAAGTAGCCTGTTAAAAAGCACAGGAGAAGAATGTCTGTTTGAGAGCCATCTGCATTACTGTGGGAAATGGCATAAATAGCAGGAAGTTCCCCATATTAAAAAAAAAAAAAAAAAAAAAAAAGAGAGAGAAAGAAAGAAAAAGAAAGAAAAAGCTAAATCAAGTTGAAGAGTAAAAGCAAGACTACTAGCACCAAGTACCTTTTTTTTATATATATGATATGATTCACTCTATAAACAGTATATTTAAAAAAAACAAAACAGACAAATTAAACCTCCACACATACTTCCAAGAATTCTGTCTCTCTAAATTGAGTTATCCTAAAGTTAGACCGATCAAAGTCTTGAAGTCTAGGCCAATCTTTTCCATGCCCTCGATGGTCAAGTGAAGGCACTATCAAATAGCAACTTATTCCCCATGCGCTAGATACCTCTGTTTTGGGATAAGCTGCCCTCTGGAAGCATCTACCTTTCTTCAATGAAMTGTGATGACAAATTTAGACTAGGCATTTAACCAGAGACATCTGAAGATAACTGACATAAATTCAACCCTCAAGTGGTTCTGGTTAACTGGGTGAATTGGCAAAAAGAGAAAATTTTCACGACATTATTTGGGAAAAAATATTTATAAAAACTGCCAAGGATTTTAATAGTAAAGGTTAACGTGCTGGTCTCCTACATCAGCATATGCCTTGCACCCTTTACCCCATTCTGGCCTCAACTGTAGGGGTAGCTTCTGGTTGTATCTTTGAATTTCTCAGCATTTACTGGTCTGTCACCACTTTAATGTTCTTTAAACATAATTTGTGGCATTTTCCAATACTCATCTTCCCTGGTTCCCAAGAAATGTCTGACCTATTTATGGGCCATTGTTACAGAGAGCTGGAGAGAGTTAAGCAAGTTTCCTGGTTTGTTCTCCACAAACAGTTTGGTTTTCCTTTGTGCTCTGAAGTAAATAAGTTTAACTGTGTTTAAAACCACAAATATACAATACTGTCGCCCACACATTCCCAAAGGGTGAACATTATGTCTGAAATCCTATGGTTTATGATGMTCAGGATATATTTTACTTCTCTCTTCTCCAGAACTGAAGCATGAAAGATGCATCAGGARAAGGCATGTGCCCTTTCCTTTAGATTTTTCTGCTATTGACCACTGTCTAAAATACTGAGCTAGAGGAATCTTTGTTCTGTGTCAGCACAATTAGTCTTAGGTTCTCATGAACACGGAAAGGAATTGGCTAATTTGGTTACATACCAGTGTTCCTCTTTTTTGTCATCATCTCGGGAAATCGGCTTTAAAGGAGAAAAGCTTTCATTTCACTTGTAAATATGACCTCTGAATCCTGCCTCTGGTCTTGAGCACTGATTAWGTCCACCAGCATTGACAGGATCTGGGTTGTATGCTGGGACATGCAACCCCATGTGTGGGAACACGGGTTTTCCCTGTGATGCTCTGGCTCCCTTCTGGAATGGCAGCGATCCAAGGGCGCTGCCTGGGTCTGCCCAGACCAGGTCCATCCAACACAAAAGCAAAACTGTCGCTGGCTTCAACAGCTCCAGGATTTGGGGATCCTTTCCTACTTTTGCCTATTGGTAAATGTAAGCTACTGAGATTTGTGCATCTGACCCTGCATGGTCGTTTCTGTGCTCTGACCTCAGGTGGAAACTCTTGGTCCAATAGTGGACATCATAGTAACTGCAGAAAATGACATGCCAAGAAATAAGAATTTGTAAATATGAGTTACCTACATTTCTGAACAGTTTTTCAGAAAGCATAAATCTTGAGCAAGGCGTTAACCTGTGATTTGGAGATGAAACCACAAGCCAAAATCCCAGATCCAGTTTCCTCTTCCTCTCCAGTACTTGACAAATTGAGTTCTAGAGCTGGACATAAAGCTAGCACCTGGGCCCTTTCTTCCAAGGGGTTTGTAAGCAAGTTGGTCTGACTTTTGGCAACTGCACTGCTTGCTTTATATACACTCTTATGTGTCAGCTGGGACATACATTGGATTAGACTAAAACCTGAGGAATGGAGAACGTGTCCTTCAAAATCCAAAACACATTTGGTCTGAGTGTGTACAACAAGCCTCTTTCTGTGGTTTGCTAATATATTCTAGACATTCTTGTGTGATACAGCATCMTTTCACACTCTGAAGAGTGCCAGGTTACTTTCTTTTTTTAAAAAGTGACATTTTATAAGGAGATGTCATTAATCTGAGTCACTAGTTTATTTTTGCATGCTTGAGCTCTGGTTTGTGGTTAGGGAAATGGTGACAATCGGTCATAAATTTAACTTGGACTCTGGGCAAAGAGGACCATTAGAACAGGAATGAAGAAAAAAAAATCTACCAGCTCACATCTCCTGATGCTAATGAACTGCTTTCGATGGGAACGGGACCTTTAAGGTATCTATGTTTTCAAAAGTGACTAGTGACTTTCTGTGCCTCAGTTCTGGCCGTCCAGATGCAGACTAATAAGCTTTGGTTTTCAGAAAGAGGGTGCTACTCATTTTTAAAAAATGAGTCAGGCCTCCAAAATAAGCACTCAAAAATGGAGACTTCCAAAATCAATAATAAACATAAAGAGCAAAACAAAAAGCTATCACAGAATTTCATTCAGCAGGAAAAAAAAAAACCAAAAATTAAAAAAAAAAAAAAAAAAGAAAAAAAGAAAGCCTCTCTTTTGTGCTGTACAAAGGTAAAAGAACTAAAGTTTCAGCGCTTCATCTTTTCTTAATATAAAAGAAGAAGAAGTGGTTTCCAGCTGACTCTGTGCAGCTGGAGGAATGTTCTTGGCAGGAAAATGTTTGAAAAAATAGTCCATTTTAAGCAAATATTGTGGAATATTTATAAGAAACCAATTCTGTCTTCACAGTCATGTGTGTTTGTCCTGAAATTTGACTCTCRGAGTTACAGCCCCCCAATAAGAGGGAGAAACAACTGTGGATTTTATCAGCAGCACAGATTTGAACTATTTGCAGCACCAGGCAGACCCAGAATGCTGCTTAAATAACTGCAAGTAACAAATCAGGCCGTTTCTGGACTGGACAAACAGAAAGGCAGAGTCTGTTTGGCAAACAGACTGTTTGCTGGGAGTTGTTTGTCCAGATTCAACATGTGCACACGATATACCAACACTGTTTGTTTGTCAGTTACGAAAGTCCCTTGAAAAAAAGGGAAAAAATAGATGAAAAAAWAAAAAAGGTATTAGATGGCCCATTTTGCTGGGCTCTAAAAATACCAAGGCCTTTTAAATTCCTTTTTATAAAGGAATACGGGAGCTAAGGATTAATTGAACTCACCAGCTTAAGGTATCTGCATTTCTGCATAAAATTAATGTGACAAATTAAGTTTTTATTTAGTTCTCCCTGGCAGAGAAAGGTTGTAATTATGTTAGAGTGTTTACTGCTAAAATATATGTTTAAATAATAAATACGTGTTTCAGAAACCATTTTAAACCTCCTTTTTTTAACACAGTCAACTCCATTTCAAGCATATAAATATTTCAATTACAAAACTTRAATACATGTAAAATAAATTAAAAATATATTATTTACATTTCAAATTATTTATAACATATGCAGCCTGACAGCAACAAATTCACTCTTAAAATGAGCAATATTTTTTTGGCTGTTAAATTTGCTTCTGAAATGTGGTAGGCTTTATATTTTAAATATCCACATGTCTCAGGTACTTACATAGATTTTGCTATAATAGATTCTGAGTAAGATAGAAGTTCTATGATAATTATTTTCATGGCATATTTCTAAAGAATCTTATAACAATGTTGGAAAAAGGTTTGATTTCAAACAGATTGTGTGATTTGCATTGTCATGGAACAAGATTCCATGTAAAGGATGCTAATGTAAGTATTGGACCTCATCCTCAGAATCACATGTAATTATGATTTAAAATGAATCTAAAAAAAAAAAGAAAAAAAACTATATGAAAATGTTTGGCAGGATTTATTCTTTTTCTTTAATTTCCACCTGCCTAGCTTTCTTTGGGGGTTCCTGTAATTCAACTAAAACTGTGTTTAGTTTGAATACATGAAAGAACACGATGAAATTGAGAATTCTGCTCAAGTTCCAGCACAGAATTACCCAGTCAGGTTTGTTCAAAATTGGGCCTGACTTGCAACACTGGATGAACCTGTGCAAGATTTGAAATTGTGCTGAATTTCAGAAGATCGACASTTCAATTCTACACTCTATTAAAGTAAAACAAAAATATTCTCCCTGGGTACTGAAAATGTGCCAGACATTTCGAGAAATAAAGCAGCAAACGGAAGAATTTATCTTGTATTTCATATATGGCTAGTATGTGTAATTTGAATTATTTATAGATCGTTGTTATTTAGAGATCACTTAGACAGCTCATGCATTTCTGCGCTTGTTTATCGTGTTTGCCTGCTTCCTTTGGAAATCATTTCTTTTCCCCTATATGTTTTTCCACTGCTCTCATAGGTTATGAAGCCAAGAGGCAATTCTACAGGGGACAGCGAGTGAAATGGTTTTCACTTGCAGATTTCTTGCAGCCCACTATAGCATCCCAAGCAAACTCGCTCTCATCTGACACCCCCAGTACATTTAACTTCATGACGAAGCCTTGCAACCAATAACATCTTGACCAGCATTCACTCTTTCTGAGTTTAGAGATTGCCAATTCACAGATTCCGCTGAAAAAGTGGACTAAGATCTGTAATGGGAGCTAATTCTGCGGTGCCCAAACTAGGGTACTTATCCCTGTCTTCCTCATTGCTCCCTGGGAAATAACAGCAACCACGACTTTGGTCCCAGCACACAAATCACTTATGTGGGACTCCAGGGGCACTTTCACCGTCAMATACTGGCTGCAGAACAGGGCTCATTTATTATATCTCCTTTTCTGGAATGTCCTCTTGGTCACACTTGAGGACAGGTGGAAGGATGAGGGAGAGCAGGAGGAAAGTGAAGCCCATTGAGGGCATTGCAGGAGACACTTCACTTGGGAAAACTGCTGCCATGTGCATGATGGATCGGGATGGAGAAGCCACTGGGTCTAAATTAAGCTAAGACTGATTTAATATTTGCCATAAGGCAGAGGATCAGAATGAAAGGAGGGGAAACAAGACTCTCCTTCAAGCTTTTTCAGCGCAAAACCTGGTTCAATGGCAAGGTCACAGAATCTAACCCTGCTCCATCATGGGGAACCGTGATTTCCATGCTCCAAGTGCCACAGGATGGGCACTGCAGACGTAGCTGGGAAAGGCTAATGCTTGCTTAGGCACTAAACTCATGAAAATATAAGTTTCTGATAGAACTTCCAATAGTGCTTTGAAAAGCCATAAATGCAATACTTAAACCCTTTCCTTTGAGCTGCCTTCCAGCGGCAGGGAAACCCTGGAGAATTCTGCCCTAATTTCTATGGCCCCGTGCGCTGAAAKCGGCTGTTCTGGTTTAACATCCCGCAGGCTTTGGGGAAATAAAAGGCTTCAAGCTCAATAACATGCTAGGAGAGGAGAGGATACAAGAAGCTGAGAGGAACAGCAAAAGCATAAAATGGATGAAAAACAACCARAAATGTGTTCTTGGGAATCTGAGTCTGTATTTTCCACCATGGATATAACCCTGTATGTTCAATTACCATTAAGCAAATAGCACTGACTCCAAGCACTTGCACTTCAAGCACCTGCAAGCCAGAAGCACGGAATTTCTACAGCCCTTCCCTTCTACCGTAGCTGAAGCTACGAGCAGGCAGCTCCCCAGGAAAGCAGCAGCCCCTAAGCGGCCGTTTCCTGCGGGCCCGTAGCCATTGCAGTGTTAAACGCAGGATTATTCACAGAGGCAGCGTTTACCCTCCCCTTTCCTTGGAATCAAAGGCACTGAGCGAAATTCTGTGCCAGCGAAAGGAAACGCAGACCCCTCTGGCTATAGCAGATTTCTGCCACAGGTAAATTTGACTAATTATTTTCATAAAACTCAACGAGGGAAGGATTCACATCTCGACATTTGTTGTTGATTTAGCATGTGGCATAGAGAAAGGCCAGGCTTGCTGTAAGCTAGACAAAGCTATTAGACATTACGGTTCAGACAACACCTACCTCACTCCAAACCAGCATGGTGCCGAATATGACCTGTAACCCATCAAAGAAATTGTCTCCTATGATGATGACAGTGGCACCTCCTGTAGTCCATCCTTCACTTGGACTGATGGCTTTGATACATGGTGTAGCTGCTTTTCAACACACATGAAAAAGAGAAGTATTCTGCTGTTAGAACCAGATTTTAATGATTGAAGACTTGAGAAAAATAAAATAAAAGGTGCTTTCATTTCCCCCACCGCCACCCTTACTAATACAACGATTGCAGCAACCTCATTCTTTCTAGTGTATGTGCATGACCTCAGCCTACATCTTTGGAAGTATATTTTCTCAATTAATTTCTGTTTGCTTTTGTTAGTTGTATTGAAAAAACATTAACTTTTCCAAGCCTGTATTAGCAGAAAAAAAAAAAAACCACGGCATGATGGCAGAGATCAACTGGAAACCAGGACAAATTCCTATCTTTTTTCTATAAGAAATGCTGAATACTTGAGTTAATAAAATAATCTCCAGCAAGCTTGCTTTATTATCCACCATAACCTAAATTAACTAAGGCAACTCCCATGAATACCATGGAACACATTAGCTAAATGAAAAAAAAAAAGGGGGCGTAAACCACAGGGTTTCTTTAAGTCATGTACAATCAGATCCAGGTGGTTCCAGTGTTAAACCACCTTTCCCTGCTTAATGCTTTAGCAACTTAAAAACATTATATATATATATATACACACACACACATACATATATTATATACACACACACACACACATATATATGTATAAAAGAGAGAGGCAGCAACAAAAGAACGAGAACGAAAGAAGGAAAGGAATGAAGAAGGGAAGAAAAATAAAACCTTGCAATAAAATCAAGAGGTTTAAGACATCCCAGTTACAACTACTAGATGATTAAGGAACACATGCAACATATTTGCCATAACTTGCCCTACCACTTTCTTGGCGTCACACGTCCCCTGGGAGGATCTTGGAAACTCAAGCAGTGTCCAAAGTACTAAGCTCAGTTCTTGGTGCTGTAATATACTCTGTTTTAAGCCTGTCCAAGCAGAAGCAAGCTCAGCTTTGTACACCAGTGAGGCAGGGCAACGTAAACATCCACGCACTGATTACCCTCCTCTGTAATACTAAAGCACATCTGAATTTAACTGTGTGCTGAACTCGGTGGAATAACACCTCTGCAAAAATAACCTAACCAAGACAAAAAGTCCTGTGTAACTTGCTGCAGGGAGGAGCAGGCTGGCTGAGGTGGCCTGTCTTCACGGAGACTGAGGAAAACAAGCGGCTTCATCTCAAATGCCACTTTCTCCTTGCTAAATCTGAAGGAGGAGAAAAATGTAACCCTGCACTACTAGACAGCATTTTAGGTAAAACGAGTACCTCTATGACTTCAATGTGTGGAGAAATAGATTCCTTAAAAAAAAAAAAAAAAAAGTAACGTTCCACTGATCAAGATCAGCACTAGAAAGAAAGATCCTTTCCTTTACATAGGAACCCACTCCTCAGCTGAGAAAATAATCTGGCTCTATCGAAAACATATGGAGGGCTGATGCTGCCTGTGCCAAGGCTCAGATGTCATTCAGGTGTCAATCAGCAGGACTTCGTTATCTGCACCCAGATCTGCATCGCTATCTGCTTTAGCAGGGCTCTCGGCAGTTGACTGTGAGTTGCCTCTTGGTCAAAAAGCTCCCTGAGCTGATTATTTGCCCCCCAAAATTTTCGGATTTGTCAAGGGAGAGCACACAGGCACTTTGCCAGGTTAGGATCTCCTAGGAAAAGAGGGATGTGAAACATTAGCCCCACACCCACATCCAGGAGGTACCGAGCGTGTGGCTGAGTAGGGAGGCTCTGCCCTACATGCAAGTAATTTAATGGTAAGTAAATCAATTACCTACCACTCAGAAGCTCACTTTAAAATGCTCTAGACACAAAGTGCTAAAGAAATGGTATGCAACAATATCATTATTTATCAGCTAAGTTCTGGCTGCTTGGAGCTACTTGCACAAGCTGGTGAACCCAGCACGGAGATCCTTCCTCAGAGCCTGGCRGGCTGGGAACAAGGATGGAGCTGGACCAGGAGCTGCGGAGTCCCCGCGGGCACTCGCTCCACATGGACAGGGCAGTGCAAACAGACCCTGGCCCCGCTTACAAAAACCTACAAGTGTCAGGCACAAACTTTTCCACTACTCAAGCTGATGGGGCTGCCAGCTCGAGTGAAAAGCACACAAATACCTGCTCAAACGCAAACCCGCTACACACACGCACAGAAAAAATCATTACCCTGCTCCCAACTTGGCAGAGTGCAGCAGTTAACTTTTACATGAGCTAACAAAAGAAACATCCTAACGTTACCGTCATGAAAATGCAGCACACACAGAAGTAACCTCAATATGCTTAATTTGGATTCAGGTTACTTGCATAAAACTGTGCATAAAAACCCATTGCAAAGTCCCAAACCAAATGCTTCCCTTTCAACCGAGCTCACTGCACTGGCTTTACAGTGAAAGCAGTTTTTCGAAAATGCCATCTAGCCCTTTCACAGAATCAAACCTTTTCATAAATAAAGTCACTTCCAAATTACACCCTTTCCATTATATCCAGTTGATTGTGGACACCCACACCACAATAAAACCCAAACTTAATCAGTTTCCCATGTGTCAGAGAATGAGCTCCTTTTCTTAAAGACTATAGGCAACGTTTTTTTCCCTAAATACCAGTGAAACAAAAACGGTTTGAGATCGCAAGGCATTAACGGAAAACATATGCAGGCTTTAAAATTATAGATTGAATTCATCTCCGAAAATGAATACAAGACACTGTGCCACGGCAGTAGGACCCCACTGCAGGTCTTGCTGTCCCTCTCATCCCGCTCATTCGAGTCACATCCTCACATGTGCACGTGCTCAGCACCAAACACGTGCCAAGCTCCATCCCAGACTGTTGGGAATGGAGCCCCTGGAAGGATGATGGGAGAACCAGAGCCCGTTTTGCCAGAGTATCCCCCAGGTAAAACTAGGAGAGGAGGGAAGTGCTGCTTATGCCCAGGGTACAAACGTCTGTCCAGCTCAGGGCCTGCAATCATTTGGCAATTCTCAAAGTGCTCTCTGGGAGGTGTTTACTTCTGTGAAACCCTAGAAAACAGAGCTTAGGCAAAATGATCCTTTCAATATTTTTCTACATTTTGTTTTGGTCGCAGGAGAAGTCAAACTGCAGACCATCTCTTGCAGAACATAGAATTCCAACATTTCTATCTGAGATTAACTGTGATACTTCTTGATATTTCCAAGAGGAACAAAATATTTTGTTCAAAATAGTAATATTTCAGATATCTGTCTGTAACACCACAATATCATTGCTTGAATGGTGCTTTTAAAATAGAAGCTAAATTAAACTTATATCTTTCTATAGGGGAAAAAAATAAATGAATTAGCTGAAGTCCGAAACTTCATTGAAATAAAAAATGCACTGAAACATTCCAGTTCTAATAAAGGCAACAAAATATGTATGACAAATAAAAAATACACATTTCTATGTATCTGAACAACACCCCAAACTGCAGTATGAGCCTTGCAGCTCCCCAAAAATGGGACACAGCCACATCTGCCACTTGCTATAACAGCCTAATAGCTCTGAACATTACTGAGCAGCTCCCCTTCTTTGCATGATATCGGGACAAATCCAGACCAACAGGCGATGCTCATTGCATCTCATTGCACTGCTCATGCATCTTGGCTCAGCAGGCGTAGATGTTAAAGGGAGGCATTGCAATGCCAAACCCATTGCAACCAATGGGAATTTTGCCCCCAACTTCAAAGCTAAGGTCTCCATCAATAATTTTTAAGGATTTATGAGCAGAAAGTTTAATGACTTCAAGGGAAACGGTATTCTGCAACTTCTGGTGAAATCTTCATCTGTCCTCAGAATAGAAGTTGCTAAAATCTTACCATTTTCTACACAGGGATGGTAGGTGCCAGCTTCAGTGCGCAAGGAACAGACAGGAAAAGTTTTGTGTGTGCCTGTGTGTTTCTGTGCTCCCCTAGCTCCCAACATGCAGGGGATTTTTCTTCCTTCAAACTGTGACAATAAAATGATTTCCCCGCCACAGTTTAGCATAATGGTTCAGAAATGCTCGTGGCGTATTGCAGAGTTAAAGTGGAAATTATTAGGTAGCTCCTCTTTGTTATAATAATGATCACTCCACAAATAAAAGCTCTTCTCCCAGAGGTACTGCAAGGCACAAAATGCTAATTCTGAAGATTATGTGTGCACTTTTATTAAATATTACTATGCCCTGTCTGTTTGAGGGCTTCACCGCTCTGATTGTTTTATGAGTGCCATGTTAATGTCAGCCCCATCTTGCCAGCAGCAGGCACACATTTTAGCTTTTGTAGGCGAGTTGATCAAAGGCCACGTGCTGAGGGAATTGCTGAGAAAACACGGACAAGCGATGAAAATCTAACAGATTAATTGGTTTAAATTTCATTTCAGGGCGGTGAACTTTGGCTCAGGACACTAAGACTAGACTAGCAGTCAGGGCCTAATTACCACATTTCCAATTTGCCCCTGAACAATGCTTGGAAAGGAGAGTAATAATAATAATGATAATAGCAATAACAACAAAACAACAGCAATAGCAGCTCCTAATAGCTCCTCATACATGCTTAATAACTAACTTTGTGTGAAGGCAATGGCATTAGGAAATCCCTTGTCCCCAACATTGCCACCTCTGCCTCCAGAGCATTTCTATTTGCCCCAAGCAGCAACCGAAGGCAAAAGAAACAGCAGATACACCCCCAGKAGCTTTAAACATTTGATTTTACAGAATCAATAAATTAATAGTTCAGGTGCTCCACAAACACACACAGAACATCTCGTATTCTTAATTAAGGACCTGAAGTTATAAGCAGAGATAGTATTTTACCCTCCAACAGAATTGATCTATCACACTGATAGAAAACAGAGGCTGGGGAAAAGAAAACATATTTACCACAAAGTTTATGGGTGGCCTTGGAATAAGGGTTAATTGAGCTTAGAGGTACATGCTCACTGAGGTGAATTAGTGGGATGCACAGCCATCAGCAGGGCTCTGGGACTGCTCTTATTCAGCTTCTGAAATGTAT